GTGTACAGTTACTAATCTGCTGTTCAGTTACTGATCTACTGTTGTACAGTTACTAATCTGCTGCTGTACAGTTATTGATCTACTGGTGTACTGTTGTTGATCTACTGCTGTACAGTTACTAAACTACTGGTGCACAGTTACTGATCTACTGCTCTACTGTTACTGATCTATTAAAGTACAGTTACTGATCTACTGTTGTGCAGTTACTGATCTACAGCTGTACAGTTACTAATCTGCTGTTCAGTTACTTATCTACTGCTGTACAGATAGTGATCTACTGGTGTACTGTTACTGATCTACTGGTGTACAGTTACTGATCTACTGCTGTACAGTTACTGATCTACTGCTGTACAGTTACTCATCTACTGCTGTATGGTTATTTATCTACTGCTGTACAGTTACTGATCTACAGTTGTACAGTTACTGGTCTACTTCTGTACAGTTACTGATCTACAGCTGTACAGTTACTGGTCTACTTCTGTACAGTTACTGATCTACTGCTGTACAGATACTGATCTACTGGTGTACAGTTACTTATCTACTGGTGTACTATTACTGATCTGCTTCCGTACAGTTACTGATCTACTGCTGTACAGTTATTTATCTACTGGTGTACAGTTAGTGATCTACTGCTGTACTGTTACTGATCTACTAGTTTACTGTTACTGATCTGCTGGTGTACAGTTACTAATATACTGCTGTACAGTTACTGATCTACTGGTGTACTGTTGTTGATCTGCTGCTCTACTGTTACTGATCTACTAAAGTACAGTTACTGATCTACTGTTGTGCAGTTACTGATCTACAGCTGTACAGTTACTAATCTGCTGTTCAGTTACTTATCTACTGCTGTACAGATAGTGATCTACTGGTGTACTGTTACTGATCTACTGGTGTACAGTTACTGATCTACTGATGTACTGTTACTTATCTACTGCTGTACAGATACTGATCTACTGGTGTACAGTTACTCATCTACTGCTGTACAGTTACTGATTTACTGCTGTATGGTTACTGATCTACTGCTGTACGGTTACTGATCTACAGCTGTACAGTTACTGGTCTACTTCTGTACAGTTACTGATCTATTGGTGTACAGATACTGATCTACTGGTGTACTGTTACTGAGCTACTGCTGTACAGTTACTGATCTACTGCTGTACAGTTACTTATCTACTTCTGTACTATTACTGATATACATGTACTACTGTGCGGTTATTTATCTAACTGCTGTACAGTTATTGATCTTCTGCTGTTCTGTAATACAACAACTACTGTACAGTTATTTATATACTGCTGTACAATTACAAAATTAATAAACTGCTGTACAGTTACTGATATACTTCTGCATGGTTACTGATATACTGCTTGACGGTTACTTATCTACCGCTGTATGGTTATTTATCTACTGATGTACAGTTACTCTTCTACTGATGTACAGTTAATGATATACTGCTGTATGGTTATTTATCTACTGCTGTACAGATACTGATCTACTGATGTACAGTTACTCTTCTACTGATGTACAGTTAATGATATACTGCTGTATGGTTATTTATCTACTGCTGTACAGATACTGATCTACTGATGTACAGTTACTCTTCTACTGATGTACAGTTAATGATATACTGCTGTATGGTTATTTATCTACTGCTGTACAGATACTGATCTACTGATGTACAGTTACTCTTCTACTGATGTACAGTTAATGATATACTGCTGTATGGTTATTTATCTACTGCTGTACAGATTTGATCTATATGATGTACAGTTACTCTTCTACTGATGTACAGTTAATGATATACTGCTGTATGGTTATTTATCTACTGCTGTACAGATACTGATCTACTGATGTACAGTTACTCTTCTACTAATGTACAGTTAATGATCTACTGCTGTATAGTTACTGATATACTGCTGTACAGTTACTGATCTACTGCTGTACGGTTACTGATCTACTGCTGTTCAATACGTTTGCACACTTTTCCGTATAGATAAAGAGTGATTTTGACACCTTTGACTTCACAAAAGCATCCCTTGGGGATACATAAAATATCATTGTGTGTGTTTTATATTCCATTAGGCCTACTATAGTAAATTATTTCTTTTTCTATGAAACAATGTTACATGTACAAAGCATGACTAAAGATGGGAAAATAGTATCAATTCATTTCACATAGAATTCTTTTTGTACTTTTAGTCTTCTCAATACTTAACCATGAAAATAGCTATACTACAGTAATTATAAATAACGTAATACATGTACTTAGCACCATTTGAAACTTTATTCAAAACACTTGTATGTAATGATATATGTCCCATGACATTTCTAGGTCAGTTGTAACTTAGAGCGACCTGCATGTAACTCTACATCTATAATGAACTTTTGAATGGCTTTTGTTAGCGTTCCTTGTGATAAAATGTTTCTTTGGAAATCAAAATTACAGATTTCTTGAACTTGGAGTTTGAATTTCATTTCAAAAAAAAAAACCAGAAACAAAAAACAAACAAACAAACAAAACTTTTACCTAGACTTTAACATACCATACGGGGGCGTCAGGGTTTGACAAACACAATTTGTTTTTCTCTGGTTCCCCAGTTTGTAACTTATTTAAGACGTGTTTATCATCCATATGTCTATGCCTGTTAATTGATTGTACTTTTCCAGAACGATCTACGCAATTGATTGGCGGTCAGACCAACAAATAATTAACCGCCAGTTGCAGAAACATAACTACCAAATTAACACGCTAAACTTTGTGGGATATTTAATAGACTTATTTTGTACAGTTTGCATTTTAACGATATTTATATAAAATTCTGATATATAACCGTATTTCACATGTGTCGCCATTAGCAGTTAATGACAAAGGGGAATTCAACATCATAACCTCCAAAAAGTTTTTTTAAAAAAATAAACATGAAGTATACACATATCTGTCTATAATACAATGTAAAATTGAGAGGGATGATTTATTTCTATCCCCTGTAGACGAAAATTTTTATTTTTTGTTCTGTCCCTCTTTCTGTTTGATCGCAAAAACGTTTACTGTGAAATCACTAATTTCAGTGGGGGTTTAATTTTTCCTGGTTTTCAAGGTATGAGGAGAACCACGAATTGATGTCCACCACAGAATATTTTTTCACATATATTACTACTAAACAATTTTTCAACCACGAAGTCAAATACTCATGAACCAATATATCCCTCCTCAAACCACTGGCTTTCAAGCTATGTATTTCGAAATATGTAATTATTTTATGTAGTTGGCTACTTTGTCGTCCAGTGTGTTGCAAGCTTCAGTTTTTCACCTTGCAAGATTTAAACTTAATCACAAGGAAAAATGTAAGTCTGTCCACATTGTGTAAGATTTTCGTTCTCGTTTACCTCATGTGAGATCTAGACCTTGAGTGAAAAAGTTTCAAAGTAATCCTCCTCACAATAAATGCCATTTCTTAAACAGTATAAAAGATATATTTTATCATATAGAGACAGAATTATTAATAATTATTAAATTACCACTAAACAGTGATGAAAGGTGGGGGGGAGGAGGTGTAGAAAACATCTAGAAATAACTGTGCAATTAATATTATGTTTAGTTTAAAAATCATTTATGATAAGAAAATTGATTTGAAAAAAAGCTTTATGTAAACCTGACTCAAATACTTTGACATCTGTAGAACACCAAGAGAGATAACTGCTTTAAGAATCGGCATAGGATGGTCCACTTAATATTTTGTTCTTCTTTCCCCTTGCAGAAAATTGCAATGGCACTATAGTACAGATTTTTGTTAGTACATGTAAGTGACTTAACCGGATCCAGTAGAGGGCGTTAGGGTCAGCTATCAAAAAATTCCTGGATCCGTCCTTTTATAGATATTTCTTTTGGGAATTAAGCAAGTAATGTTTCAAAACCTTTTGATAAGCGTAAAATTGATACTCTGAACATTTTTAAATTGAACCGTAAGATTAAAGCGACTCCCTCCCTTCGGATTTTATAAGTAATGAACTTCTTAGGTGACTGAAATGTCTGGGGTTTTGTCTCCAGATAATGCATTCAATTTTTCTTCCCAAAATGTTCATTTAAGTCTATATAAATAAGAAAATCGACAATCGCTGTAACAGGAGGTTTATTATACAATGTGACAGTACTGTTGACATGCTAAATGAACCCGATGTTCATATGTGACTACTTATCGATGTACCATACATACTAATAACAGGAGCTTCATAATAAGCTAATTTATATATTTTTTATCATGTTAAAGTGCATCAGTTGACATTTTAATGTACCTGGAATTGATTAATTATAAATTCTGTATTTTCTATTTGTTGAAAAAAAAAACAATAAAAAAAGAACCTTACTGCAGCTTGCTTTAGAAATGTCTACTGGTCATAAAAAATGACATTTCAATGAACAGCTTTAAAAAACAGTTAAGTATTACATACTGTACACAGGGTTAGCTCTGCTTTATTTTCGCCCTCTCACACTATAAACAATTTTGCCCTGTTTTAAATTCGCCCAGTCACCATTCTGTTTAAGAAATTATACTGTATTCTTTTATTTCGCCCCTTTTTAAATTCGCCCGACCGAGGGAAAGGCGAAAGGAGCGAAAATAAAACAGGGACGAAAATTTCCCTGTATACAGTATATAGAATGTAAAGAAAAGCCTTTGACAGCCTTTGGTTATATTTAATATTACACTGTAGTCTATCAGTGAGGCAGATGTCGTGCCATAATAAATTTTTCAGCAAGTTTAAAATTCAGTCCTATATGATCAAATTAAATATCTTTGGCAAAAGAAAAGAATTAAAACTGTAAATAATTTTAAAAATATTTTATATTTGTGTTACTTCGAAAAAACGAAAACGCGATATGGTATTTTAGAACAATCCTTATATGGACAGTTCCAATTCGGTCTTTCAAATAAGTTAAAATATTGGGGATTTTTTGTATCGTTTAACTGAAATACGACCGTCCTTTGTTTTACCTGTCATGTTACATGAAATTTTAATCATTGCAAGCTTTTAAAACTTAACAACAGACTAAAGCACCATTAACGCAATCCATATCAGTAAACATTAGCATAAAAGTTTCAGAGGAGTCACACAATAACAATTCTTTGTGCTGATGGACATAACGTGGATGCTTTTAGGAAGTCATTGACAGCTGATTATTGTTATTTTTTGGGAGGATATCCTTTATGGGATTTTTTCTATTTAAACACAGATAGTAGATATGGAGCAATATTACATTCAAACACAACACTGTGTGAAATTGTTGATTTTCGATAATAGATTCAGAAAGTAGATCCGTTAGCTGACAGTGGCGCGCGATAACACTGACCCTTTAAAGAGACCAGACTGCAAAGAAAAGATTTCTGATCCAAGTAATCACCTTTCATTTACTCTCTGTTTAATGAAAATATTGACTTCCATTTAAAAGTTCACCATATAAAGTGAATGGATTTGAAGGAATGCCGGTTTGGAGAAACTTCGGGAACCCAGTGTGGTAAGTATATAAAAATGTGATTTGCCTTTTTGTCTGAAAGTGCCATAGTATTGAAGTCAAATTTGCTTTTTTTCCCTCGTGCATTTAATCTAGTGCATAAAGCATAATCCGTATTTATGTATGTCAAAAGAATTGTTCTCAGTCCATAATTCTCTTTTTCTTTTTAAAAATTTATGCCCGACTGTGAAGAAGCGATTAAAATTTTTAATATTGTTTTGTCAGAACTTAATTTGAAATGCTGTGATGTCCACAATGGAATTAAAAGAAGGTAAGGATATCAAAGACGACATGACAGACCAGGTTAAAAATACCCAGGCGGTTAGAGTGATTGACCATGTGTTATCACTACTGTGTTGTGGGAAGGGTCACTCCTCGCTGACCAACATTAAAACACTCGGAGACAGGTTACAACATCAGGGGTATCTCAAAAAAGAGAAATGGGAGAAGAAACATCCCATAACGAGGGACAAAATCATCCTGCTGAACTGGATAAAAGAACACTTAATTTCAAAAACCTACCAAGGAAAGGACGTTCTCCTGGACTGTGTCCGTGATCTTAGACTACTAGAAGGTAAGAACTTATATCTAATATGTATGTTTAAAATTTATGTGAAGTCCAAACGACAATGAAGCTTTGTTCGTGGATATCATTATATTTTACATTTATAACACTAAAATATCTTTCTATTCCCCATAAAACACAGACATTTTGTCAATATAACCACCTGTGTACATGCGTGTCAACTGTATAAAATTTGAAAAGTAAATATTTTATGTAATACGTAATGCCAAAACTGAAACGTTATTAAATATAATTACCAAAAATGAATGTATAAAAGAATGGTATGTTTATCTATATTTGAATAAGACGATCTCGAGTTATGTTTAAATAAATAAGGAGTGCTTTATTTCATGCATGTGGAAAAAATGCTTTCATGTCGAAATTGTGCCTTGCATATTTTATATTGATTTTAAATTCAGCCAAATATGAAGACTTAATCAGAGAGAGAGTGTCAGGGGAGGTATATTTTTTGGATGGATCCTATTGATTCAAGATGATAAATGAGATCAAATTCCATTTCGTTTTATGCTCATTACATTTTCGCTTTGTTGCAGATAGAGATCTCTCTGAGGTAGAGAATTTTGAATTGAACCAAGCTTTGAATATTTTATATGACATCCAACAAAACGCTAAAAGAGAAGATACGGATTCTCCTAGTCATCTACACGAGGACATTAAACGGATGAAAAGTTCGCAACAGGCGTCTCCTAAAATACATCGGAAACAGGGGGATTCAAAAACACATAAAGATATCAAGACCGGTAACGAAGTCAATAAACATGTAGTTTTAACACCGCCTTCTAGTTCTTCAAACTCTGTTTTAAATTCTCCATTAAATGATCGAAAATCCAAAGGAAAAACCCCGAGGGATAACAAATCTACAGATCTAGAGGCGGTGCAAAAACAAATGAAATTAGACTCATCTTCATCCCCAAAATTATCAAGACCCGGAACAACCAGCAGTACAACAGATTCTGAGAAGTCCTACTTACACTTACATCGTGAAAAGAAAACTCACCAACAGCAATCAGAAACAGAAAATAAAAGTTATACCGTAAATACACCTAATCGTGTTCAGCCAAGCCAACCAAGTTCTAGTAAAAGAACGTTAAAGGAAGACACTGCAAGAATGAAATCTATTTTATACCATCTGATGCTTCGTCCATCGGAAGATAAGCGAAAATTCTGTAACATAATTGACGCTTTAAGTTACGACTTGCGAAAGAAAGATATGAAAAATGAACTTATTCAATTTCTTCACGAAAATCCACCGAAATTTTCAGTACGTCACATATTTCATCACAACAATATTTTGCTTGATTTTATTTTCCTAAAAGAAAGTTTAAACAGTCTAACAAATTGGACTGCTTCTTTTTTGTTTGTATTTCCCTAAAAGATAAAACTTTTTTTCAGCTAAAACATGTTGGATTTATTGATGGGGGAGAATGGAGCTTATATCTGCGTACGAAATGTCCAGACGCATTGTGTGCCTACGCAGTAGCTCAAAAATACCAAGTTCTTCTACACGTCGTTGCTGTTGGCACCGAAGACACAGAAGAGATCAGATTTTATCCGCTCGGTTATATTCACGGTAACGAGGATAGACACGTCTACCTGGCGTACCTGTCTGACAACAGTTTCATGCCTCTTGCACCAATGGATGCAGTAGGTGAGAATTCTCTTGAGTGTATTATAATAAAACTTTTTTCCATTCATTTCTCTCCCCACAAATTTTAATTCGTGTGGCTTGTTGAAAATGCAGACTGAATCAGGCTTTAAAAAAAATAAGTTTGTTTCCTGTAACATTCCCAAAAAATCAAGGGTCGGTAGGTCGGAAATTCTTTTTTTATACCCCCGCTCCGAAGGAGAGGGGGGCATACTGTTTTACCCTTGTGTGTCTGTCTGTCTGTCTGTCTGTCTGTCCGTCTGTCTGACTGTCCGTCCGTCTGTCCGTCCGTAACAAATTTTCGTCGCATTTTTCTCAGCAACCGTTCATCGCAGATGACTGAAATTTTAGCACAATCTTTGCCAAGGCATGTCATACGGTGGGATTCATTTTTGTTCAAATCCGATGTCAACTTCCTGTTAATCCGTCCGCCTGTCTGTTTTATACATAACAAATTTTCGTCACATTTTTCTCAGCAACTGTTCATCGCAGATGACTGAAATTTTAGCACAATCTTTGCCAAGGCATGTCATACGGTGGGATTCATTTTTGTTCAAATCTGATGTCAACTTCCTGTTTATCCGTCCGTCTGTCTGTTTTATACATAACAAATTTTCGTCGCATTTTTCTCAGCAACCGTTCATCGCAGATGACTGAAATTTTAGCACAATCTTTGCCAAGGCATGTCATACGGTGGGATTCATTTTTGTTCAAATCCGATGTCAACTTCCTGTTTATCCGTCCGTCTGTCTTTTTTATACATAACAAATTTTCGTCGCATTTTTCTCAGCACAATATCGGTATATATATATAGTTCTAACAAGATGCTTTGGTTTCTATGTATTTTTACAGATACTTTCTGCATAAACTTTAATGATGATAAAGAATTTACCTTAAATGAAAATAAATACTTAAAAAGTTACATTTCATTAACTTAACACGTGTATAATTATTCACATAAAAGCATACATTCGTATCAGAGCGGGGGTATTACTAGTGAGCATTCGCTCACAGATTCCTTGTTTTTTTTTTTTTTTTTTGGTTATGAATGGTCAAACATCCCCGGACCGAAAATACCAGGTGTTATATTTACAGTGGACACCCAATATGGCATCCAAAATGGCTGCCAAGCGGCAGAAAACGAACTTCAGAAAGTTGTAGGGGGAAACTGTTGTTACAATAATGATTACTCTTTATATTTAAGGTAAATGTACACTAAGTTGACATGTTTTATGTCTCAAATTAAGCTACAAGCTATTTTTTTAATTTAATAAATGGAATCAGCTGATTGATCAAACGAAGTTCTGCCATTTGTCAGAAAAAAAAAATCCACCCGGAGATAATTTGAATGGATCGGTCGGGTTACAGGAAACAAACATTTTTTTAGGCCCCAGTGCGAATGGTAAAACAAGTGAATTCTCTCTACAAATGGATTAGACATTATTTTCTGATGACCACCTCTAATTTAATATCCCAAACAACCAAATGAATTTCAATTACCATATCTTTATTGGATTCCGAAACTTCATAAAAATTCTTAGAAACAAAGATACATAGCGGATTCCAGTAAATATTCAACCAAGCCTCCTTCTTTACTCCTCACTAAGATATAAACAGTATTGAAGGAGAAACTTAAAGGCACTGTGCAACAATATATTCCAGAAGTGGTGTAAATCATATGTGAATACTTAAAAATTCCAAGGAACTTTTGGAAATTTGAAATCACAATACCAAATTACCAAAATCAATAGCTTAAAAACTCATGACTTTTCAACTTTATACACAACCATTCCCCACGATTAAATGAAGTCCAAGCTTTTTGATATCACGGACAGCCGCTTTTTCGATAAAAATGAAGCTCGTAACTTTTCTTAACTTTTCATTGGTCATTTGCTAAATTATTTTGGTAAAAAAACATTCTTATTGTACACACAAGTACTCTGAAGTTGACATTAAAAGGTTGCTTGAGTTTCTGATTGACAATATCTATGTTGTTTTTGGAAAACAGATCTTCCAACAATCTATTGGAACTCCCATTGGTCCGAATTGCGACCGTTATAAGCAGACCTATTTTTGTATTCATATGAAGCGGATTTTAACCAAAATCTTTTACCTGAAAAGAAGACATTTGTTGTGACCTTCAACTCAACATTTAGATATATCGACGACGTATTGTCAAGTAACAATGGTTATTTCCATTCTTATGTCGATACGATATATCTCGGTGAGCCTGAGATAAAAGATACCATAGAGTCTGACACATCTGATTCATATGTGGATATTTTACTTGAAATTGACGTTAATGGAAATCTAACAACCAAGCTCTATGGCAAACATGGTGACTTTACCTTTCAATCGTCAACTTCCCTTACTCATGCAGCAATATATCTTCATCACCTGCATATGGAGTTTCTATCTCGCAGTTGATTCGATACGTAAGAGCATGCTTTATGAATGCATAATTACTAAAAGGAGGTAAATTATTGACAAACAAGTTGATGAAACAAGAATATCAGCAGTCTTGTTTAAAGTCATCATTTCATAAGTTCTGTGGTCGATAAAATGGCCTTGTCAGCAAATACAATTTCGTTGAGTCAATGCTGAATGACCTTTTTAGACGGTGGCTATTTATAGCCACAGGCTATAGGTGCTGGTCAGTGTAAACACACGGGGACCCTAGCGGCGATTTTTGCAGAGTCAAAATAATGAAAGTTAACTGATTTCGATGTTTGAAAATAAAATGTACATAGGTTACAAATACATTGAAGTTATTTTAAAGACATTTCGTTGATGGATACAAAGCCTAACTCCTGATAATTGCCGTTATCAGTATTCCTCGCCTCATGAATATTCATTACACCGAACTTAACTAACTCGTACACCAACCGACTCGTATATTCGTGTGCAAACAACATATGTCAACTCGTACACAATTTTCTCGTTTTTTCTCACATGTTCGAAATATCATTTTCTATGCACGTTGTGTTTCTTAAAATTACCGAATATTTGTTGAAGAATATTTGTTGAAGAATATAACTCTGAAATCAAATGCTAGTAATAAATAATTGCTAAACAACACACGGCTGTTTTTAACTGAAATACTGCTTTGTGGATTTTTTTACAATAAAACTTGAATAGTAATTTAACAAAGTCTTTTGATTGTTTCTTGTATCTGTTTTCAATGCTATATTAGTAAAACGAAGATATGTATTTTAGGAAAGAAGAAAAAAGATCACTACATCCGAATCAGTTCGTAGTGACGGTTGTTGGAGGTATATGATGCCGTAAAATTTGCTAAGTTTATCATCATTTTAGTTTTTAAAATAAGACTTTGTTTGATTATCTCGGACACAAAAACGACTTAACGTATAATTTGTCAAATTTATAATTACAAAGACTATAACGGACACAATTTACCCATATATTTCATTCCTATTTATTAGATACTCTAGCGTGCCTCTAATAAATTTAACCGAAAATATACGAAAAAGGAACTCAAATACAAGTGCATGAATTAATATTAGTACTAGTATTAGAATTTTTTATGTGATTTTAGCTAAATCACATAAAAAGGAAAGTGGCTTTGAGCTGAATTTCGGTCAGTCTTCTAGTGTGTTCATCAAACAGTAAATATACACTGGGACTCGCGGTGACGTTGCATATTAGAATATAACGTATGAGAAATAACATAATAGCAAACCACGGCGAAAATGTATAAGATATTCAATTCTGAGGAAAGCTCAATACGTATATATACAGACTCTGATCGTGACTTGAGACGACGGAAAAATAGAGACAGAGAAATATTTTGTTATTCTGTTTTTTTTTTTCTTTTTTCGAGCAGTATACGAGAGTTGTCGTGTACAAAGCGTTTTTTCTCGTAAAATAGTGGGCGCTGCAATATGAAATTTTTAACAAGTATTTATTTATCATATTTTAATGTATTTGAATTCTTTTGATACACTTTAGACAAAAAAAATAATACTTTATCAACATGCTTTAATGTTACACACGATAAAAACCCCGGTTATAAAAATAATACGAGTATTGTTTCGAAATAAAAGTCTTAAATAGCTTTTGGTCTGGAAAGCAGTTCAGTTTTTTCCTCTAATAGAGAAATATAGTGTAATAGAGAAATGGGAGTTTTCTAAGATAATCGTTTTAATCAAATCCAAGGGTAGAACAAACAGCTACAGAAATAGCGAAAGGCGCTGACAATTTTGATAGCCAATATATGTATAAGATTATTTAGTTGAATGATAGTAAAAATACTTATTCATAACTTTAGTACTAATAAATCTTCACAAGGCCCCTTTTGTGCGCGATATTGGTTTCTGACTGTTATTTGAAGAATTAAGGGAAACTCAAATATGTGCATCAATGATATTCCTTGATTTAAGCGGGAATTATCAAACGTGTTTTAATCAAAGAGGAAACTTGACGCTGCTTTTGACACATTGACATTATCATCCGTAACACATTAAATGAAATCTGCAATTTTTTATTTATAAATGCATATACCTATTTGAAGTTTGCTGTGTTTTTTGATGACAAATGTACTTAAGATAGTGCGTTAACATTCTAGATCACAGTGAGAATTCATAACAATTTACTTTTTAGATCTAGTTCAAAAATATAAATTTATATATTAAAATACAGGTAGATATATTGTGAATAATCGGAATAAAATTTTAAATAATTCCCAATTCATTTTACAAAAACTTAAAACATTTTATCTTATTTACTACAAGTCGCCATCTGACGTTACGGTAGCGGGTTTGCTTTGGACTCACGGACTTGTACATGTATCTAATAATCTAACTGTGTCTCAGGACAAGCCGTTACACCGGGTCGTAGGACATTTATCATTTTAACGATAGATCATTCTATCTAACGGACTTGAAGAAGTCCATCCTTACTTAGCGGATTCGACTCCCACTGCGTGACATGGATATTGGACTTTAATTCAGATCAAGATCCTGTGTCGCAATAATTGCTAGCCAGAAAAATCCATAGGTTCTGAAAATTTTATTTTTTTTTTAACAAATGTACGTTAAATAAACAAAATCATTCATGCCACCGTCTTTCAGTACTCACAGTACTTTGATTCATACTAATTGTTAGTCCATTATTTACACACTGAGTTGAAGACGGATTTTCCCGTTGTTTCCCGATCATAACAAAGAGCACACAGCGGGTGTGACCGGTCGGCAAGGGATGCCCTTTCTTCCGGATCCACGGCACCGGATCCCACCTCTGATGCTTGGGAGGTCCGTGTTTGCTCTGTTCCTATTTTGTATAGTTATATGGACTTTTGAGCTAGCTTGAACACTGTTCGTTATCTCCATATATTTCATTTCTATTCTGCATTATATTTCAGATTTTCCATCACATATAATGAGTTCAGATAACTTCCAGAAATGTCTTGCCAAGATAGAGAATCTGGAGAAAGAAAACAAAATGCTGAGGACGAAACTTCAGGAAGTGGAAGACGACAAAGATGAGGACTCCCCATCTGACCACAAGGTGGCGCTAAGTGATCACGTGTCTCTGAGGCTACGAAGAAATAGCAACAACTTGGAGATTGACAAACTCCGCCAGCAATTGCATCTTATAAAAATAAAAATTGAACAACATAAGCGTATATAAGTATCAGTGCATAAGAGAAAATGTATTTGTAATTGTTGTATAACATATATATCGCATTGTATGATGAATTTCTCTAAGTATAAATGGAATCTATCAATTCAGAGACTCACTCCTCGATTGTTTATTTACTTGAATTGTTTAAAAATGTATTACGAATCTTGACTTAACCTGTACATACTTGCAAGGTTTGAAATAAAGCTACCTTGCTCGTTTGCCCGGGGAGACAAACAATATGAACTTGAGATAATTCATGTCTTTCTGCTGCCTTACCCGTCCGCACCAAAGCTGTAATAACATTTTGTACATCCTTCCTGGTCATGTAAGGTAAATTAAACTGCGCACAACTATGCCTAAAATGTAAAATTTGCAAAATGGCAGAAATTGTATACTTCGAATGTAAATATCTGAAATTTATCAAAGATTGGGGACTAAATGGAAAAGGTTTTCTGCTTTTGAAAAATGTTGAATGTGAAGAAATCAAATGAGATATCAAAGTTTTGAAAAAAAAAAAAACTTTTATTTTAGTGTTTTTAATTTGCTTCATGCATGTGTTTTATCACTTATTTTCCGGCAAAGAGACAAATTTCCGGTACAGTAAACCACTTCTTATATGTAGATGATAAATTAATTGATACAAATATTGTATATACGCATAAAAAAGGAGAGTAAGAAAAGCAAAAAAATGGATTCATTGCAATGCAATAACGTTTCATAACTTAAAAATGCAATTCTTTTAATATCTTCTCTAAAGTTGTATTATACATGACCGATAGAGCAATCCAGATTTTTAAAAAATCATTCATAAACCGAAAGTAGAGATAACCGAACTATGTACATCATCGACTGAGGACGTGTTTTAATGGCGTGTGTAACCGTTGTTGTGTTTTTAGAGTTTCTAGTCCATTTAGTTGGGGTATTAACCCCGGGGTGGATCAGAACTGTCCAGGATGACAGCTCCGGGGAGTTCAATAGTACTAATGCTGGACTGTTCTATGTTATGAGGTGCACGAACGAAGGGTGCATAACTAAAACTATATATGAAGATTTTCCTAGTCTTGCTTATCAGGGTAAGTTCATGTTGAATAGATTTTATTTCGTAAGAGAAAGCATTGAGTCGGCGTTGTCTTCAACGACCTTTCTTTAATTAAGACAATGCTGGTTTCTTGAATTTTAAGATCTTAGAAGGTTTTAAAGTCTCTCTTTATGAGGCGCAGTTTTAGTGCCTTAAATGCCTAAATTGTTATCAAAATAATCGATTACCTATTTTAACATCAGAAAGTTAAATTCTAAAATCAAAATTGATCTTTATAATAAGAGTATAAAATTCTTTTAAAAGTTCTGAGAACATCTACCTAAAGAATGGTATTATAAACGTAAATGGGACTTCATATTAATTGGTTATGCTTTTTATCTGATAAAAGATGTTTACTTGTGTGTATTCATCATATCAAGGACAATGCAAATTACATTGCTAAAATAATTTTTTTTAATTTCTGATCTCATTTCAGCAATATTTTTAAACATATGTAGGCCTATTATCATATCAACAAGTTCATGGCCTTCTGTGAATTACATTACGTAATTTAAAAAATATGTTAAATACAAATGAGAAAAAAATGTCAAAGAATTAAAAGTAACCTCTGTTTTGTTTATTTGTTTATATTTACAGTTCTTACTATTAACTTATTTCACACCTAGTTAAAAAATTCAAAAAATTGTTCTATATGTATTTAAGTTTTGAGAAGATGAATAACTCTAGTCGTGTAAAAATAAAAAAAATTTAAATAGACTGAAATATTCTCTTCCAAGCCAAATAAATCTTATACATTAGAGATAAAGTCAATGAAAAGTGTTATTTATTTCATTCACACGAGTACATCGTGTAATTTAAATAAAAATAAAAGTATAAAAGGGTTACTTCAATTTTACGATTTTATTAATTTTTTTAAGGTGATGCTTTATACCCTAGACAAGTCGCCAATGAATTCAACGCCAGTCTTGCTATACTACTGAATCTTTTGGGATTGTTCTCGGCACACTGTGCGGCCAGAAAAAACAAAGGAACAGCTAGGATGGCGCTTATATCTATTGTGCTACAGGCTTATTCATGTATGTATTCTACGAAATTTGCTTCACTTAGAGGGGTAGATAAACTAACCTTAGTTACCTCATTATCTGCTCATTAGAATATAATTTAATTTTAGTTGTAACACGTCATTTGATTGGATAAACAATTTTATCCATTTTGTATAATATAACTTGCCTACATCACAATGTGTTACGTCAAAAACGTATTACTCCGCTTGACGTTACTTTTAAAATTTATAATCAATGTGAAGCCTTATTCTGGGGGAAAACTGTCTCATTGTCTTGAACAATTTAAAATCTACATTATACCAGGATGCTGAAATTGAATTATAAGGAATGAAGCTGATTTCAACTTATATTATACGATATAACAAAACTTGGGGCAGTTTACGCTTATTTATAAACCGCTTCGCGGTTTATAAAGCGTAAACTGCCCCAAATTATGTATCGTATAATATAAGTTGAAATCAGCTCATTCCTTAATTAAAGTAATGTCATTAAAATTTTGCTTTTTCTGAGATTTGTTATTAAAAAAATATTACAAACGGAAATTATGAAATGTTAATATAATTCATTTAAAGTGATTTTTTTAAATTTAAAAAAATCCAAAGCAGTAAAAACATTCGACTTTTTAGATTGTATTTACAGACAAGTTCATCACAGCAACCCTGGAATTTGCAGACAACTTAATTTAAACAGGATAGTAGAAATTCTTGTAACACCAATGTTTTTGGCAGTAGTTTGCCTTGGTTTTAAAATTGATCTAGTGGACTTTTCCTACATCAACAATGAAAATTAACTGTGGAAAAACTGGTCACCTCACTGGTCATACATTTCAGTCGTCTGTAATCAGTAAAGCACAGGATAAAAAATACATGTGGCAGACTCTATTTCTTTAATTTCTATTTCACTGGCATATATTGAGTCGTTGTATGACCCAGGTATGACCCAGGAGTCAGCTCAACAAATTAAGACCACAACGCTATTGTTAATGTGGAACTTTTATATCTTAGAATCTCAACTTCAGAGATATAGTATCCTAGTGTACCCCCAGTGGTTCTTGAGAAGAAGATTTTCAAAGATTTTTCCCTATATATTTGACGTATATAACAATTTGAGCGCGTGCAAATTGATAAACAAACTTCAGTGCTTGTAATAGAATGGAAATGCTGATTAAATGTTAAAAGTTATTTTTTCTTACCATTCTTCATAAGATTTTTATAGCTCTTCTACAAAATCAAACTTTTACAATTAGAAATATCACCCATACCCTATTTTCGTCCTTCAGACATAAAACGGCCGCAGATGATTGTTCTATTTGTTTTCCCGTGATTTTTGATTAAAAAAGGGTTGGAAAATCATTAAAATAAAAATTGCAAATTTTAATTGTTAATTCTAATTTTTTATTTATCAATTTAAGAACATTAAATTGCTTTCGCTATTACCGACTCCGTTTTCTTTAACGAAATAAAAAAAAAAAACACGAACGTGCTTTCAGATTAACATTGTCAACGATGTCATGTATGCTCATGCATCAAATTACCTGATATGCAAATTATACAATGTTTTATTTTAGATTTTCCAAAATTCATTGACCTTACTTGCAAAAACCGATAGAAAATCAAAATATTTAAACAGTGCAATTCTGGCACAATCTGAAAAAAAACCCAATAGGAATACTATAATTCAATGCGTAGACTTGAATTGATCACCTAATTATTAAAATAATGTGTGAAATATTCACGTTACAGGAAAAAAAAATATTATCTACTAGCTCTGCAGTATGAAAAATAAAAGAGTTTGCAGAAAAGATCTTGTTTTACTTGATTATATCGTGAAGTTCGACCCAGTAGACGCCCGGATTAGTTATGCTTCAATGCACGTGACTTAGCACCTTTAAAACTGGTAAAAATTGTGACAAAAATACACTTTCTTTGGTGGCTCAATAAAACGACTGTTCAGACTGTTCAATAAAATAAATTCTTGGATTTTTCCTATATATTTCTATATAAAAATTTGGGGGGGGGGGGTTTAAAATCCCATGTGGCCCCGACTGGCGGCTGGGCAAGGTCAATATTTAGATCTAATTTAAACAATGTGATCATCAATGCTTGGTCATGTTGTAAGATTGATTTTTTTAAAGGAGGTGATATAATAAATTCTTATGTATGGGAAATATTTTTGATATAATATATTTGGTTTTATTTATTTACCGTCTCAATAACATATTCCTGTATAGAAAAAATCTCGATTATATAAAAGGGAATAAAAACACACACACAAGAAAAGGGAAAATCAGCAGCACAGTATACATTGTTTTAATTTGTAGTACCAACAGAATTTCTGTTGTTGGAAGCATTCACAGCTGTTAATTAAAGTGTCTGTTAAAATCTTTGATTTTTGTGGAGACTTTCATTTGCAGTGATGACTTAGATTTTTTCCCTGAAATAATTACGGATACCCGCATGGCCGCATAGAACGTCAACCAAACACAGGTAACGTCAATATCGTAGGTGGAAAGTGTATAGGATCCTTATTATTTTTGAGCGTTAGTTTCTTTTTATAAAATTCTTAAATTAAAAGCCCATGCACCTAATTGAATACAATGACAGGGATAAAATAATAAAATGAAGGAATATTTGATCTGGAAGTAATTTTGGGGAATTAAATGCCGTGTACACTTTCAATGAAAATGGACCTAATGAAAAATCAGATATTTTAAGTATTTATATCTTATTTAAGATTAAAACTAGTTTAAACTGCAAATTCTGAAAAATAATTGCTGAAAAAGTTGCATCATTGTGTTCACTAGTCATAACAATAAAAAATGACGTCATCGATACCGAGTTCGAAACGTGCTGGTCTCGAGAAGTTTGGGGACGAATTTAGGGTACGGACGAATTTAGGGTACACGACGATATATGTTGAATTAAAATTATTTTTAAGGATGTAATTTATTGTTTATGAAGAATTGGTTAAGAGTTCTGAAAGATTTAGTCTTATTACATTTAATACTATATTTTCAGTTTTTGTAACATTCGGTTTCATTATGGACTACCTTGTGATCTACATCCTGGCACAGAGACACAACTCTGAATACACTGGATACACCTACGTCACAAGCAGCACACAGATGCCATATTCCTTGATCATCACTGGAGTAGCCTTATTCATTCAAGCTTCTGTCATTATGTACTTTCTTGCAAAGTTATGTCGTCTGCTTGACGGGACTTTACTAAACAACGAATCGCCACCCCCGTATCAGCCACTTTTAGGTAATGATGGGGGCGGCCATCAATACACATACGGGACTTCTAACGAAAATCAACATCCGGTTCCTAATGCTCCTACAGATTATCCCAGAAACAACAATCCATTTGAAGAAAATACCAATCAGCGATTCAGGAATGAGAGCAATGCTTAACTGATTGATTTAGTGATTTAGCCACTATATAGCACTGAATTTGATAATTTCAATAAGAAAACTTCGTCTCTAAGTACAGATATGTTGGCATTATATCAGAAAGGAATATGACTATATCATCACAAATTCTACCCAACGAGGGCAAAAACATTTCAGATCATAATTTAAATCAAAATTGGATTACAAACGTTGAACAGTTTGCCAGTACCTGTGCTTTAATTCAACAATGTCTTAATAGTTGAGCTATAAACATAAATAATTATTTTTGGTCTAATTCTATCTGATCTTACTTTAGAAATAGATACTTTCATCATCTATGGCCAAGAATAAGGTCTAAAATATTGAATATAATCTTTGTAACAGAATTTTTGTTTGAAAAAAGATCTAGATCAATTAAAATTTGCTGTTTAGTGTTTACTGATGCATGCTATAAATGTGTCAAGGAGAGTCAAATAGACCTTTTAACATTTTAAAATTCAACATTTTTCTTTGTACTAAGAAAGGCACACTCGTTCTGAAAATCTGACAATATTCATTCGAGATAAATCAAAAGTCAATTAAAGGAAGATAGAAACATTAAAATTGATATGCTTAGTATTGCTATAATTTTTATTGTATTCAAAATCCTTAAAAATTTCACTTATACAATAACTTAACTATTTTACATATAACAAATTTTCATCTTCCTTGCTTGCAAATAAACATTTAAACATTTAATACTTCTTTATCTTTGGGTTACATTGATTTTAATTCCGTATTTTGCTCTCATAACAAGTTCTGGAAATTCTTCGTACACGTGACCTTCCACCAATTCCACTTTGAATCTGGAAATAATAGTTCATGATCATGGTTATTCTTTTGTTTACTTCTAAAAATATTAATGATAAAGTATATTACATATATTAACAAATAATTTTTCCTTTATTATTTTACTTTACCTCTTCACTAAAGCAGCAATCATAACTTTTTCTTCATTCACTGCAAAATTCTGCCCGATGCAATTTCTGATAAAAAACATGTTAAGAGTTGTGAAACCTCTCTTTCTATATATCTCCTGTATATAAAAGGTTGGCTTGAATTTTATCAAAAAGTAGAAGTGTTCTATGTGCACACACAATAAGGGTATACATTTCTCTAAATGTTTCAATTTTCCTTCAGTACATGTATAAAATTTGAAAAACCAACTGCTTTTAATACCATGAAAATCATACTGTGCTTTTTAAATTTTTCCATGAGATTTGCACAACACTTATCCAGGACATTATAAGTAAAATGGTACTCAGTATTTTAGCCTTAAAAATTATAAAACCTGAAACCTTCTGAATACATGTATTTGAGTTCCTAAACTTTGCTTAACGAAAAGGGATAAAAATTGTTATAAAATGTAATAATAAAACCTGGAGCCCCTTAAAAAAGGACTTGAAATGAATAGCTTTCTACACCTGGAACTCATTGAAAACAAAATGCAGTTGTAATTTGTACATGGAGTTTGCTGAAAATGTACAAAATAATTTTGATCTTTATACTTAGGGCCTGCTGGAAACTGAACATAATTACATGTTATCTTTTACCTGGAGTTTAGTAAAACTGAATATTATTGTATGGAGTTCTATACCTGGGGCCTGCTGAGAACGGAATATAATTATACGGATCTCTCTCTTGTCTCTTTTCATCCTCAAACCTCGAAGGTCGAAATTCCTTCAATAACCAAAGCATGTATAGGATAAGAAATGTGTTATTATTTATTGTTATGCATTTTTATGGTCCTATGATGGACGGTAATTTAAACTACCGATCGAATCATCATGTTTACATATATTTCATTTAGAAATTGTCACGCCTCATATCTTTATTACAACCCCCTTGTTGCTATGAAAATTACATTTACGTACCATGTGATCAGGCCAAACATCTGGATGATGATTGATTGCATGAATTAAAATGTTGACTTGAAAATGTGCAGGAATCTCTGCCCCATCTAAAACCAAGGGCTTTGTCAGCCAACGACTTATAAAAGGCACAGGACTGTGCATTCTCATAACTTCCTTCAGAAACATCGAGGTGTACTTTAACTTATTAAGATCTTCCCTGAAGAAAGTAAGAAAACATCAGAATTAATTAAAAACTTAATTTACAATTTCAAATTGGTACAAAAACACCAATTTGAACATAACTTTAATTTTGTTACAATTTTTATTATGTTGTTTTCAAATCCACTATATATTTAATTGAATAACAAAGAACTATATGCGGTATATTGGTTTGACAAAAGTCAAATTTTGAAAACAAACAACAATTTGCTCATTTACATAACATATTAAAAAATTTGTTAATTTTTTTTTTTGAGATGAAGTTAAAATTATTATGTTGTTTTCAGATCCACTATATATTTAATTCATAACAAATTTGACTGAAGTAGATACTGATGAGAATTTCAGTGAAATAGGTTACAAACTGGTCGATGTGTAATACACGTGTATTTAATTTTTCTCAAAATACAACCTAATGAACAGAGATTTCATTTGAAATCAAAAGACCATTCAAAAGTTTTTTCTCTGTCATTGTATCCAAATTGAAGGAATATTCCAGATCTTCACATATCAAAATTTTTACATTCTGATGTCATTTAAGTTATTTTGCAGATAGCAAAATAATTATATAAGGAATTTTATAAGTGGAAATGCTCAAAATGAGATAAATTCAGCTGCTTTCTCAACACTCAGCCTCCACACCATGTAACTTGTGGTCTGCCATCTAGAACTGACGTCACTTCCTGATAAACCTTTTCCTGTTCTTCTGGATACTTGGCTAAACAGTAAATAGCCCAACTTATGGCCGATGCTGTTGTATCATGTCCTATAATGAAAATAGATTTTCCATCACCAATACTCAACTTTCCTCCCCATTTAATTGGGGGATAAAAAATCTGTGAATACTGTTTGACATTTTTAAAGAATGTACTGCTTTAAATTTAATTTCTTTCTAGGCGAATGTTTTAATACTTTTGGAGAATAAAAAAAATTGACAATTTCATCAAAACTTCACAAGAAACATGTATTTCATATGATAAAAGGTTTTTGTGACTAATTACACCAATTTTTACCTTCAAAAAGGAAAGTATCCACCTCTGCCCTGATGTCCTGGTCATTTAGACCTTCCCCATTCTCGTCTTTAGCCGTGATTAGAATGTCTAAAAAATCTAGCCTTTTTCCCGCTCTCTTATTGGTATCCTTCTCTGTCTGCAGTGTGTACTCATATTACAGAAAATAACCATAAAAAACTATGCTAAAGAGAAAACTGCAAGATATAAATTAAACATCTTTAATACCAAAGCTTTCCTACGAGAAGCGATAATTTCATCAGCAAACCCATGAACATAGTCGATGAGACGCTTGTATTCCCTGCCCATGGATGAGAGCCAAAACAAAACATCCGGATAAAGCCATGGACATCTAAATTAAAACAGTTAAAAATCACACGTATATGTCTTTGATACTAATTCATTCTTTGAAATATAATGCAATAGATACTTACAAAGTCCTTTGAACGGATAGATACCCCAGTCGTCGGACAGCCTGTACATATGGGTGACTATCTCTGTGAAAATTTTAAAAGATGCTTTTTTCTGAAGGGGACACTCTTGATACCCATGATTTTGTTCCACATAAACTCATAGATTATTTTTTTCATAGACATAGTGATATTTTTAAGTACAAAAAGTGTTATACGTGAACCTGATCAAATTATACAGAGGGAGGCTCCCCGTTTTTAAGTGATATCGAATTATATTCTGTCTTGAGGATTAATTTCGTAATTTTAATATTCAGTCAAACCCATACCCCTTTTCCTGTACCTGCCCGGAATAGGACAACGAACATCTTAACATGGTATCCAATGTAGCCAGTGATATGTGGCTGTAGATTTCTATCGCTTCTTTTGAATCACAAGCTTTTTGTAATTTTTCCTAATAATTTTAATAAAAAAGGAAAGCCAACAATACATAATTTTCAAAAATTCAGGGAAGGGAGAATTGAAATCTCACAATTATGCTGCTTACGAGAAATATATTGGCGACATCGTTGTAGATCTGAACATAAGGTCTGAGAATGTCAAAATGGAAGGCGGGAGTTAGCAGACGACGATTTCTCTCCCATTTCTTCCCGTCCGACAGCAATAGACCGTCACCTTATCATTGCAAGGAAAGATTGTTACGATGAACAAGTAAACAAGTGTATGAAAAAAATCTCAAATAAAGCGTCGGATGATTTCTCCACTTCCACTTACCTAACCAAGGCAAGACCATCCTATAAGCTCCCCCAAGGTTATATTTGACTTTTGGTTCAGAAGATTTTAGCAGGATTTTGGCCGTGTCGGGATGGCATGTGGACAAAACAGGATAAAAAAACATGATCCACCCGCTAACGAGCCTCGCTTTGGTTTTCTCCACCGTGACAGAAACCAGTTTGAAGAAGTCGGCCATATCATTTATCTATCAAAATAATGACGACTAAATATTAATTTGAATAATTTAATGTATACCTGACAACCTTATATAGTTCACTAAAATGAAAATTTTGAAACATTAAAAATTTGCAGATATTATTTAAATTAGTTTACTTTCGAAAAAAAAATTGAATGTCTACGAAAAAAATTATTCCCACAAATTAAAACCTTGTAGGAACTAACCACAATGTTTTGTCTCGTACAATCATTCTAATATTTTAATAATTAAGGTGCTGACAACAATCTGATCATAATTGCATTTTTAAGATCACTAGCTTTGAGAAACAATATTATAAATAGACAAAAGAAGGTACTTAGAAGTTCGTTAATTGAAATTTCAGAATACTTCTCAGTTCCTTGTCATTTTTCTTCAACTCTAGTTTTTAATATTAAATCTATATGTTCAAAGACGCAACAACTGGCAACAGTTAAGTAGTTATTTATGTGAATATATCATCCTATTGCAGAATCTATTTTCCAAGTTGTATAGAGATGATTTCATACATTGAATACAAAGATGTTAACATTGATGCATACTCTTTTCCATTCATTTTGTACAACGACTTCAGAATCTTCAAAATTCGAAGAAAAAAAAGAAGGTAGGGGGTGATTATTAAATGCTCTAACATTTTTTCTTGTCATATGAAATAAACAAAGTTAAGGTCTTTCTTTAAGAGAGCGAAACATACGCAAAGTTAGAAAATAAATTCCTTTGTAACACAAGCGTTATTCCAAAAGATATTGTTTTAACATTAACATACCAAACCGCCTGGTAACATAAAAATGCAGCTTAGAGCTTAATCATATGCCCTAACTACTGTTTGTTTAAATCATGACTTTTTTATTGTGTTGTTTCTAATGAATGCCACAGTAATCATAAGCAATGTGAATCCTTTACAGGCATCACCTTCATAAGATT